TTGAAATCACTGACGTCATAAACTACCATGTAACCAATCATATTGTGCCAGCGGACTTTTGCATAGAGTCTAGCAGTGAGTCGCGGGAGATGCCAGGTTAGCCTAGTATATTTTTTGTTGTCATGAAAAATCTGGTACTTTTAGCCGTTTAGCAGGTGTATGATGTATATTACGATGTTATGATTAACTATATACCTTTCTCAGCTGATGTTCTTAGTTGTTCAATGCGTTTCTAAGGATACTGAGGCAGCGGTCAGACTCTGAGAAGGCGAATGGAAATAGCAAAACATTTTAGCTGTTTGATAACATAGTGAAGCAAAAGGATTATCATTAATTACCGTTGTGTGTCCGACATTGTAAAGAGCGATTCCATTGTCCAGTGTTTAGTAAGTTGGCCGAGTGAACCTGTCAGCTGGTGTGAGTGGAGGCGGGGCTAATTAGCATATTCAGAGTTCCACATATACTACTAAATGAAGAAAGGATGTAGAGTTGCATTCAAGCTATTTAGTTATTAGTTATTATATAGTTATTAGTGGTCGAAGATTAGAGATACAATGATTGACTACAGGGGAAAAAAGTTACGTTTTTCTCTGTGGACACAAACAGAAATTTTAAAGACTGTGCAGGTTTTCCATTTTATTTCAATGAGGACTGAAAAATATCAAAGACGCTACAATATCATAAAACTAGTCCATACGACTCTTCTGCTATAAGTTTTCTGAAGTCATCATCCTATAGTTCTTCATTCATAGCCATTGCATGAAAAAGAGTGATCAGCACAATATTCAAAGTGCTTTCCTTTTGCATTTCACAAAGGAACGAAAGCTGAAATGGCATGAGGGCGAGTAAACGAATGGTAGCAGAATACTTTTTTAAGGCAAACTTTTCCTTTATTTAATTATGTATTGCCATGACAGGGTTGACCTGTTACAAAAAAAAAGCAACAATGATGATAGATAGGACCAACAGTACAATAGTAAGGGGATCAAACATTCATCAAAGGGTTACAGAGAAAAGGGTTACAGATGCAAACACAGCCTAAGACGCACACCTAACCACAACAACCGACCACATGGAGCTCATGTCATGCAATAAGTATATGATTATGGTTACATAAGGTTTGTGTTAAACAGTAATTTGCTGACGGAGGTCTTGGTAAAAAAGACCGACAAGATAAGCAAGCAAAGAAAAAAAAAACCCCGAAAGTATTCGAGCATGAGACGGCTCAGGAACTGGGGAGTCTGTAGAAGGGAAATTTTCTGAAAAATTCAACATGTGAAACGAAACCACAGGTCTGACGAATAGCGCTTTGAATTTATTACGTCATTTAGGGCGCCTGTTGACACGGAACTCAAAACCCTTAAAACTCAAACGACACTGTTCACAAACATGACAGGTTAAAGAACGTTCTTTAGTGCAATCAAGACATGTTGCACAATCGCTCTTCAGTATCTGAAAGCTAACATGACTGTGCAAACAGTCAAATGTTTGGTCACTTTAGAAAAAAAACGTCTAGAGAAGCAAGTCTGTGTACAAGGTTTTTCTCTACACTGTGACACAGAAATCCTTATTTTACAGAAACGCACACTTGCCTTTACAAAATAAATAAATAAATAAATAAGCTAGAGCATTTTTAGGATGAATCATGATGAGAATGAGCTTTTGAGACAGAAATCTCTTTTAAGCATTATAGTTGTAATGTAATGCAATGCACACTTTTTAATGGTTAAGAGTATGGAAAACAACAATGGTAGGGTAGTAATTTTAATATTAATGAGCTTTTTTTTTTATAAAAATCTACATAACCTGGAAAAAATAGCCTCATTACATCAACAACTGTCATTACATAGGAGGAAACACCTAGATCACTTTGTGTTGTTATTGTCAGTATCTGCACTGCTTTCACTATATATCACTAGTGAAACATCCAACCGCCAATGAAACACTGCAACTACTATAAATGTTATAAAGGCTTCTTCTTAGGCATAAACTATTGATAAGAAAGAAAGTTTAATTACAAACTCACCACTTCCTTGGCCCCTGCCGCACGGAATAGGACAGGAAGCTGAGCTGACTGAAGCTGAGCAGAATCATTCTGTGAAACCTAAAAACTGCTATCCGTGTCATCTTACGCGTGAGAAAAAAAACTGTCTACACAAGTGGTTCTCGTTCGTTTTGACTGCAAGACATTTCAGAAGCTAGTAAAGCTGTTTGTTATCCAACATTTTAATATGAATAAACTAGAAATGTCAAGTATCTGTGATCACAGTGTTTTTAAGACGGAAGGTGGAATTGGGCTACATCCTTAGACGCGTTATGTGGATTTGATCATGTAGATATTTTTTTTATGCAGTGTGCCATGAACACTTGGACTTGGATTTCGACTACGCGACACGTTTGTAAACTTAATTGGTACGTTTTATACAAAACGCCACGAAACCAGGAAACTTCCATTATAATCTGTGGCGTATATAGCTAAGATTTTTCAGCGCGCCAATAGAAATGTCGAACTTTTCAAATCTTTAAATGTCAATCAATTTCATTGTCCGATATCAGTTTATTCTTAGCTAAAAACACTTAGTTCTTTCAAAAATATATGTGCTTCATTAATGTATATTACATCGTTCAAGTAAAAGTATTCTCGTGAGTGTATAATATGCCATTGAAAATGCATACGGGTAAGGGGTTCTAATGTCGGTCGCCATGTTGCCTCTCCATCTTGAAAGTACATTAGCCAAAGAGGGACATACCCATTAATTCAAGCTTCGCCTTTCACGTTTACGTTTCAGTTAACACTCATGGACGAGGTCGAACTTGTAGCCATGTTAATCTTGGACTTCATTGGCCACCGTAGGAGTTAAAACGAAATCGGAATTGAGAGGAACAGAATCTAAAATTCACTGGATGGTCATATACCTTTTCACCACTAGATGGGGGTAAAAATCACACAGTGTTGCTTTAAATAACAACGAGCCAAATGATCGGTCAGTTTTGCCACTGAGCGCGCCAAAGCTAAGGTGTCGTAATTGCGTGATTACAAGAACTTGTAAAAAGTGTTCACACCCTCATACAGCTTGTAATTACAGCCTGTGAGCTGGGAATTTTCTGAGAGCTCATATTTGTACCACCTGACCACTGCACATAATTTAGGCCTTAATATGTTGACATAGAAACGCATCATTTCCAGTCCGAGGACGTAAACAGCTCTGAGTATGTTACGTGTTGAGATGTGTTCATGCCATGTTGTAATTACCGAACCGATTCTGAACAGTAAAAGGCCTTGTAGAACTTGTAATTACAACGTGTAACCTCGTAATTTTCTGAAAACAACATTTTGTACCATGTGGCCACTGTACCACCTGACCACTGCAGACTTGCAAACCTGTGTTTGCTGTGCAGACCGATCGGCGCGTGAAATCAAAGTAAGACGTGAAATTCGAAAGCACACAGAGCTTTACTTACGGTAATTACTATACGACATGGTGTGAATGCAGCGTTGTCATCTCGAAATTACGGTAATTACGACGTGGTGTGAACGGCACTAGTTTCAGATCGGAGCTCTCGTGCACAGAGTTTCACTTTTCCTGCAACAGCAGAGGATAAAAGTGAGTCTTATGTGGGGGAGTGAAGTTCAGCAGCTGAATGAAAACATAAAAGCTTCAAATGTTCCGCTGCATCAAAAATAAAACATGTTTGATGATGCGCTGACAAAACGAGTCAACATAAGTCCCATGCATCAAAAGTTTGGAAAGAGGATCACGAGCCGTTCCTGTTCCCAGTTTGACCTGGAATTATTCCTCCTGTCAAAAGGATGCATGGTCATATTAAATGATCCTAATAATAATCACACTATTGCTGGTAAATGCTATGCCCGTATGCTGAAATGTGCATGCATATGCGTGTGGCGAACACCACTTTGCGTGTCGATAAAAGTATGATGCCTAGCTGACAGTGCGCCTCGAGACCTTCTTTAGAAAATGTACCGGTGTTGAAATTCAAAAAGTGTGCGAAAACTTGACAGTTTCATTGTTTTGACCTCTTTAAACAAAAGATTGTCAATGATTCACTGTGAAATCGAGCCTCAATTTCCATCCCAACCACACATATGCACTGAACTGTTGTTGGAACCTAAAACGCTCTTTATGCTTCAGAGAATTTAAAGGGGAAATAAAAAAAGGATGCAACTGTTCCTTTTTTGTAGATGACATAAGTACCCATCCTTGTTGTTTTTCATAGATCGTGAGCTTGGAATTATAAGGTTAAATCTCCACTTTTGGTCGAAATTGAGTTTTTGACATAATCTGATCCATTAGGTGTTTGTTAATGCCTGTGCGGTGTTATTTTTGTAAAACAACAAAGATGAAGCTATAATAGAAGATTATACTACATAACAGTTTTGCCAAATGGGATGTAAAAACGTTGATGCTCAATACCTCAGAACTACCCTAAACGGAGATAGAACCTTATAATTCTAAGCTCACAAGATGTATAATTAGTCTTTGACACCCAAATTCATACAATATGCAAAACACAAGTTAAAAACTAGACTGGTTAGCTGATACTGACCTTCATGTTTGATGCAATTGCTTGGACACAGAACACAAGTGGCAACATGTTCTGTTTAGAGTCACTGAGGCCACTGCCTTAATTGATGACTGTCAGCAATGTGACGTCTGACTAATTTTAACTGAGAGTTGAGAACAAAGATGTCTTTCTTTGAGCCGTCATGTCGCCTGATTACCCTTTAATATATAACCTGGTGTGTGATGAGCTATGCCGTGCTTTGCGCATCTGCAGGTTGTGTCCTACAAATCAATCTTTGCATTTCATTTACTCTGCATTGCATATTTTCATTTTCATTAAAGACATACCGCTTTTTCGTATTCCTGAGGTAGCTAACCTAAAAGTTGTATTGCAGAGAAATGACAACCCCTCTATACTTTGCAGCCATCCACTCCTGCAGTGCTTTCAGAATCAGTGAAGAAAAAAGTGGCACTCACCAAATTTTAGTCCACTGCAAGTATCGTTCACATGCGCTTATGACTGGCTCTATTCTTACATGAGCTCCTTTGTCAACCTTCTTGGCAGAATGGGAACTTCCTGACTGTCTTAACCCGTGTGCTGGTTTGACAGGGCTGTGACGTGAATGTCTCATTGGCTGACGTTCCTCATGAAACCTGACACCTGCACAAGTTTCGCCCACACCACGCTGACTGTAAAGAGTGGATCCGTATAGAGTGTATTATTGACATTTATGGATAGGCCTTTTCTGGGCCATATATCAGTTCAAATTCTGGTTCTCCCTCATGCAGTCAGCATTTTCGCATGAATGATTTATACAGGATAGTTGTAAATGCTGGGGGGAAAGATTCCATGAATCTCAAATGAATAGGAATTGATGTTTCGGGAGTGTTGTACTTTTGTATGAATTACATGTTTGACACGAACTAGGATTGGCTTGCTCCCCTCAGGTGCTGAATATGATGATGAATATCACAATGAGTTACTTCTATCTGTCTTTCATCTGCTCAACATCATTTTCGGGGAACCGGACACTATCTTTAGCACTATTGTTTTACATATTCTTCTCTACAAGATCCAGCAAAATCCGATCTCACTGGTTTTATTCCGGTCATTAGTTTGCATAGTAATAAGCATAGCTGCACAAGTGAAAGTGTCGCCGTTCTCATATTGTTCATATTGTGGTTTACTATTGTTGTGATCTCGTGTGAGTGACAGGCTGTCCCGTCTTGTCGCTGAGAAGCAAACAGAGATGTTGTTGAAAGAGGGAAAGGAATGTATTTTGATTAACCCTTGTGCACTGTTCGATTTCTGGGTACGTCCTAGTTGGATCTGGTCAAATTGACCCTAGATGGATTCAATACAATTCCCCAAATATCACACTATAAAAAAAAACATCACACATCACAAAGAATAAATATCTGATTGTATGATTTATAAAAATGCTTTTATCCACTGTTTTTAAGACTGCCCCTCCCCCACACCCCTGGGACTTTTGTGATTGCACATTTATAACTTAACTATAGTATCTTAGTGTACATCTAAGTATATTACTATATACCATTTGAAAGCTTTCTGACTTTAGTTTTCATATTTGGTGATTGTTTTTCTAAAGACATGACAGAGCAAAAGATAAATAGCAATAGATTCTCCATTTCTGATATGGTGCCAAACAACCCACATTCTGGTTCCTTATGTATGTTTATGTGTTTTAGAGATTGAATTCCATTACAATTTTAACATTGCTGCCCAAACTACTTCTGAATAGGATTTCTATTTCACATATATTTAGAAAATTCTGGAAATATATGGTTCCAGATCACTCAAACAATATATGGAAATCAAAGAGTCCTTATTTGGTCACCAGTGGAGCCTGAATGTCATCTGTAAAGGTTTAGGCACCCAAAACATCTTACCTAAAAGCTAATTTCTTGATATCAACCTAAAATTTGGCACAGTATGTGTTCAGGTGCTTGGCTTTGATTTTCTTATATATTCAGAGTCAACCAGAATCAACCAAAAAAAAAAATGCTTTGTAAAATATATATTTTATATAAAACTTTTTATGGCTTAACATTTTTATCTGTTTTTTAGTTCCGCAATAATCTGTGATGTTTCACCTTACTTATGTTTCAAAGATACCAAACTTAAGTCTGTGCTCCGAAGTATTCAAGATATTTTAGTCATTTTCATGCCTATGCTCAAAAGTGGGACTGGCAGTTTAATAGGTAAACAAAAAAATAGTTTTTTTTTTTTTTTTTTTTTTTTTTTTTAAAAACTTAAAAGTTGTGAAACTTAGCATGACACAGCTGAGCTGAGTTGAAGAGCTCTGACATACAACAAAGAAATGTTATTTTGTGTACTTGAATAGCTGCCTATATGGGTCAAATTGACCCATGAACATCAAGATTGTGTGAACATGTCTGTATGCACATTTCACTATATCAGAGTGTTGAAACTTTGCATGCATATTCATGACCCTAAGTTTCAAGAAAAGCAACATAGTTTAATAGTGTTTCAGATAGCTTGAAAAAAAAAATATATAGCCAATTTTTACCATCTGTGACTAACAAACTTTTTACGTTTTGAAGTCACAAATGGCTCCTTTGTAGCTTCATATGGTAGTAAAAAAATGGTGTTCATGGTCTATTTGCACCATGAACACCACAAACGTAATATAAATTATGGGTATATGTCAAAACACATCAGCGTGTTGAACTTTGCATGCCTGTTCCTGAACATAATGAGAAAAAGTCACAAAATGTCAAAAATAAAACCAAAAAAAAAAACAAATAAAAAAAAAACATGTTAACCGGTGTTTCCAACAAGATTTCTAAAAACGCAAGGATTAAAGATTATTACATTAATTAATCAAATAATTATGTGCACGGATAAATCATTTATAACAAATAGCTACTTAAATATAATAAATAGGAATTGTCAGTTGTGAATTCATGGTGACTTTAATTTTGCCATTGTTTTATGATTGAGCAAGTAGATAAACTCAAAGGTTGTTAAAATGCAAAATTTTTATTAACATGTTTACCAGTACATTAAGCCTATTCGTTCAGTATTTAGACATATTGTTGCTTTATTCCTCATTATGCCAGTTCACAAAGTGTGAATACTTGTTCTGCTAGGTTTTTTTTTTTTTTCGCGCTTGTAACCAGATGTAACACGTGTTTAAATGGGTTCAAGCCATGTTGTAATTACCCAAACCAATTCTGAACTGTAAAAAGCCTTCATATGCTTGTTGAACTTGTAATTACAACGTGTTCAACGTATAATATTAAAAAAAAAAACAAAAAAAAAAAACACTTATTTGACTAGATACTATGGAACCGCTATATTTTTTTAAAATATTTTAGCAATAAAATCAGAAATGATTAAAATCGAATTAGTGTTGAATAACTCTTTTGAATCAAGACTCATTGAGAGTCCCTTCAGGTTATCGTTACACCAATAGGTGTTTGCAAGTCTTTTCATGTTCATGAGTCATTCGTCACAACCACGACCAGCCTTGCAATGCACATTATGCGTGCAACCTACTAAAAGACTCCAGAAACAAGCATCATAATCATTTCCCACAAATGTCAACAGAGCAAATGCATTTTGTATTCTTCTATTTTTTGTCAACTGCATGATTTTAAGCAAACAAAAGACATGGTTCTAATATAGACACTAGCCTAAATCATTTTATTAAGTTTCTTTAAATAAGTTTCTTTAGTTTAAAAGTGTACGATTATATAATTTTTTTTGTAACGCAACCAGTAGGTGAGTGGGTAACACTTTTTTTCTTGGTTCCATGCTTCAGCCCAGTAGGTGGCAGAAGTGCGCCTATTGCCGTAAGAAGAAGAAAAACAACAAAACATCCAAAATATACCCGTAAATAGGGCACTAGTTGAGGGGACAGCTATTCGTGGTTGTGTCTGAAACCACTCTTTTATTCACATGCACTGCAATAAAAGGTACACAGTGGTTAAAGTGGGATTTGGCAGGTAGGGGAACCCTCAAATTTTGTGTAGGCGCAACAGGAAAAAATAACTCACTGTGGAACAACATTTTGAGTATCGTGGTTTCACAATACTTTTTGGGTCAAGAGTGTCGCTTTGATATTTTAATGGTTATATTTTGGCCCATCTACACTGATATGATGACGATATTATGTTAAAATTGCTTAACACTGCAACAAAAATTGTCCTGGCACTGTATCCACACCAGCCCACATTATCATCCTCAGCCCAACCCACAGACATAGGTGGATTGGGGGGCAAGATCCCTTGAGAAAAATTTGATTCATCGTCTGGTGTCGTTTAAAGCCCTTTGAAGCTGCACTGAAACTCTCTTTTGGACCTCGAACTGTTTGGTTCACATTGAAGTCCCATTATATAAAGAAAATCCTGGAATGTTTTCATCAAAAACCTTAATTTCTTTTAGACTGAAGAAAGAAAGAAATGGACATCTTGGATGACACGGGGGTGAGTAAATTACCAGCATTTTTATTTTATTTTTAAGTGAACTAATCCTTTTAAGCTTCATGTTCTTCTAAAAGAGTCATGAAAGTCTAAAGTTTCAAATACAACTTTTATCAAACTGTTTTATTAAAAAAAAATCATAAGTCAGGCTTTACATGAGTAAATACGGATCACACAACTGAATGTAATTTTGTCAAAGATTTATTTGAATGTCAGGTGTTTGATTGATTTTATGACTTGAGTATATCAGCAAACAGGTTAAGGTTTGGATTAGTCATACAGTATAATCCACCTAAACTAAAGGAACAATCCTCATGTCCTTCAAATCTGCAGTCAAGCCTTGACTTGCTCAGCCAACTCCCATTAAAACATATGTACGGACACAATAAGCAAATGATTGAATCCGATTGTCAGTGGAAGAGAGGCTATACCAAATGAGTCTGTGTATTACTTCAACCTAAAAGGATGATTTTCGTATTCCAGTAGATTACCAAAGGAGAAGTTGTTTAGCAGTGGCTGAGCTGTGATCTTGCAAAGAATAAAAAAAAATAAAAAAAAACTTGGGTTGTCAAATCTTCATAAAAGCAGTCCATGCGACTTGTGCACTACAGTATATCTCAAGTCTTCCAAAGCCATACAATAGCTTTGTGTGAGGAACAGACCATGCTATTATCACAGAACATAAAGACCAAGTCATTATTCGCTAAAAATCTTGCATGAAAGCCAAAAAGCACTGTAAGCCTAAGTGCAGCCAGAACCATTGCCATCAATAGTCTCTACGATCATGCTTTTAAGAAACGCTGCTGTGGTCACCATTCAGTTTCATTGTGTGAAAGAGCACAGCTCAGACACTCTGCTAAACATATCCTTTGGTGTGTTAGCAGCAGCATGGACATGTGCTGTAAACCTCTTTTTGTGTGTTCATTGGAAGTAGGAATTTTGAAAGACAAGATGACGAGTATGACGAAAGTATGAAGCTTGTTTCCGCCACGAAAAAAGGGTAATTCTGACATTTTTTTCCTTCTCACAATTAAGTAATAGAATAAAATGATTAAAAATACATCTGTTTTATCCTGAATGAACTATTCTTTAAAGACTATAAACTTTATTTTG